TTTTAATTTATGATAGCCAATAATTGATAGACCACCGATATCCCAACAAAATGGTCCCCCATTTATTCAGTTGAGTACCAATGCCCAACAAATGTATGAATTAGTGTTTTATAATTTTGACTTAGCAGTTACTTAACAGTTTATAACAACAATGTAATATAATAATGTAGCCCTTGCTGAAACGATTGATTTATTTTGATGATAAATATTCATAATTCATAAAAGTTCATTATGTATTGAAGTAGTAAAAATTCATAAATATGGTTAAAATGCAGAGCAATTTAAAAATGCAAAATAAGTGATCTGTTCAGTACAAGTTATGCCATTTCATAGTGTTTGTGAGATATGTATTATTACTTGTTTTGTGAGTTGTCAATCATTCATTTCTTTGACAGTATTGGCATGTGTATAGCTCAAGTAACTCTGGCCAATTGTAAAACAGTCTGTAGGTGAGAGGGTGGGACATAGCGAGATGTTTGATTGAGGTGAGCAGAGCGAGTTGAAGAGGGACACGAGTTACCTTGACCGAGTCCGTGCTGGAGTGATTTGGTGGACCAGAGTTTTATTTTTGTGGGGAAACGACCAGTTTACCTGACATGAAGAACTTTGAGACCATCCGCGAGGTAATTATGAATTTAATGTTTTGTTTCATTTTATGTGATGTTTTGGATATAAGAGACTGAATAACAGTTAAACGGGTACTATTTCTGTTGAATATTAACACTCTCACTTAACCCAAGGGATTTATGTAATTTTCTTTTATTTGTTTTGAGCGTAAAACATTACGACTAAAGAATCTTTACATTTCAAGTTTTGGGATTGTGTGGTGTTTTATTTGGTTTAAAGTATAAAACAAAGGGAATATCATAAGAATAACCCAGGCCCCCCCTATATGTACATAGGCGGGTGTTACACAATTTGGAGGCACCGCTGGGATATTCCCATGCTTAACTTTTTAATTTTTGCTCTTTAAAGGGGTACGTTGTTTTCAGTCTTACAGAGCTTAACACACCAGCAGTAGGGTTAGTATAATGGCTACCCAGAGAGATTCTCAGACGGCACCTGAGCTTAGTAGCTGGTGCAGTGAGGCAGGCATAGACCCAAACCGGGCTTTTGTGCTGCATGACGTTCCCGCTGACATTGATCAAGCAGACATTGAAGAGACTGCTGAGACAGTGAAAGCTTTTGGAAGAGTAAAGGTAAGAGACATAAGACTTGACACTCAGACAAGCAACAGCCTAGTACTTTGTGAATGCCGTCAAGATGTTCACCCAGACCGCATACCACCTCATCTTCAGCCATTGAATGGAGGTTCTGCCTGGAAGATATCCCTCTTTGTTGAATCTGCGAGTCCGGCTGATGACTTTTTAGCCAAGCTCAACAAGCTAATGGAAGAAGAGGGAAAAACTGTTAATGATGTCCGTGCCATGCTATCTACAGATGTTCCACGGGAGAACACACCTGAATCTATCATACGTGCAGTTGGGGACCTGTTAGGAAAAGCTATGCGACCTACCAGTGAGAACAATGCGTTTAGATGCCTTCGGACGTTCTCTGGCCATCTCCCCACCCCAGCAGGTGAGGAGAGCTTTGAACACTGGCTCGAGCAGGCTCGCCTGATGATTGAAGAGTGTGACTGTTCTGTCAGAGAGAAGCGAAAGCGAATAGTAGAGAGCTTAAAGGGGCCTGCACTGGAGATCATCCAGGCTGTATGGCTAAATAACCCGGATGCTAGCCCCGAGTGTTATGTAGAGGCTTTAGAGAGTGCATTTGGGACCCCTGAGTCTGGTGAAGACTTGTATTTCGCTTTCAGGAGCCTCCATCAGCAGCACGGAGAAAAGCTATCAGACTTCTTGAGGCGGGTGGAGCGCTCACTGACCAAAGTGGTGCAGAGAGGGGGTCTCCCCGGTCACAGAGTAGATCGTGCCCACATTGACCAACTGCTGAGTCAGACATCATGCTATTACAGCTGAGACTGAGAGAAAGGAGGGAGAGACCCCTGACCTTCCTGAAGCTGCTAAATGAGATTCAGGAGGAGGAAGAATACGAGATGGCCCGGCGTAAGTTAAACACTACAGTGAGACAAGTAAAAGTTGGAGAGGAGACTAAAGCCAAATCAACAGAGGTTCAGGAGCTAAAAGCAGAGATCAAAGAGCTACGCTCTGAGCTTAAAGAGTTAACTGTAAAACCAACCAAGAAAGTTACAGATACTGGGGCAGAAAGTGAAGTCCAGCAGTTAAGGCAGCAAGTGCAACAGTTACAACACCAGTTAACTGTTATGTCTGTATCACAACAGACATGAAAAAGAAAGATGGGAGAGCCAAATATGGCAAAGTGGTGAAACCATACAATGTAAAAGACCCTGAAAGTTTTTTCTGTTATCGGTGTGGTGAGAATGGTCACATCGCCACTCACTGCTCAGCCCCTGAGAACACAGCCAAAGTAATTCAGAGACTCCTCGGAGCACTTCGCAAGAATAAGGAGGAAAAGGGGATGTCCAAAGGCTCTGCTGAATCTAAAGAGGTTGGTTCAGTCAAGAAAAGCTCAGTACACACATCCTCACATTGTGGTTTGCCAGAAGGGCTGGTTGGCCCATCTATGATGGCCAACGTCACCATTGAAGGACAGCCTTGTAGAGCCCTTTTAGATAGCGGCTCTCGAGTCACCATTATATTTGAGAGCTGGTACTCCCGATAACTCCCCAATGTGCCCATCCTTCCTCTCACAGACCTCGCCATATGGGGCCTGAGTGATTCTAACTACCCATACAAGGGGTATGTAGCAGTTGAGCTGGGGCTTCCCCCTAATTCAAAGGAAGCTGAAGAGGCAGTCTCTATCTTGGCTCTAGTATGCCCTGACCCAACAAGTCCAGACCCAGTCCCCGCCATTATCGGCACCAACACAAAGAAACTGCGATCCTTGCTCACTCACTGTGAAGAGTTTGAAGATAAGGATGAGGTTCATTCACTGAGAATAGATACTCTCCCTGCAGAGCACCTCTCATCCTCTAGGGCCCTACCACAGAGCGTGGTTGGGCAAGTGAAGTGGCAAGGCCCCGGGTCTCTCACCATTCCCCCAGGGGCAGTGCATTATGCTGTCTGCAAAGTAGAGCAACAGCAGCCCATGGGCAAAAGTATCCTGATGGTAGAGGCTGATGAAACCACAAACCTCCCAGCTGGTGTACTGGTTCCACCTGTTGTGCTGCCACCTTCTGCGATGGATACCAATGGGTTCACACTCCTGCTGAGAAATGAATCCCAAAAAGAGACTGCTGTCCCTATTGGCACAGTGCTGGCACAGGTGTACCTGGTGGACACTGTCACCGAGTTAAAGAAGACCTCTGCCCAAGACGGGTCTATTGATCCTGAGCTGTTCAACTTTGGGGACTCTCCCATCCCTGAATTGTGGAAAGCCAGGTTAGCCACAAAGCTAGCCGAGAGAGCCAACGTCTTTTCATTGGAAGAGTGGGACGTCGGCTTAGCAAAATGTGTGACTCACCACATACGGCTGCGAGACACTAGGCCATTCAGGGAGAGATCTCGCAGAATCGCCCCAGCCGACATTGAGGATGTTAGGCGCCATCTTCAAGAACTTTTGGCAGCCGGAATAATCAAAGAGTCACGGAGTCCGTATGCATCTCCGATTGTCATAGTACGAAAAAAGAATGGCAAAGTACGAATGTGCATTGACTATCGGCTGCTGTCTGTAGGTGAGGGGGTGGGACATAGTGGGATGTTTGATTGAGGTGAGCAAAGCGAGGTGAAGAGGGACACGAGTTACCTTGACCGAGTCCGTGCTGGAGTGATTTGGTGGACCAGAGTTTTATTTTTGTGGGGAAACGACCAGTTTACCTGACGTGAAGAACTTTGAGACCATCCGCGAGGTAATTATGAGCATATGAGTGTTTTTGAAAACTGTGATTAAGTTATACAGTGTAAAACGAACTGTTAACGCTAACCGCGATTAGCCGTTAGCTTTAGCCTAGAGCCTGTGTGGTTAGCTTGCTCTCTGCTCTGTATAAACATGCTTGGTTAACTTGAGCTAAGGCTAAATCGGCATGAAGCAGCCTGTGGACTTGGAATTTAGCTTGTGTATTTAATTTAGGAGGAGAAGACGGACGTTTTGACGGCATTAAAGAGGGAAGCAAAGCTCCTGTGAACTACGTAGGATCTGCATCCTTCTTGCTGTGTGTGTGAGCTGTGGATCGCGTCGGCCCGCTTTGACTTGTGTGTGAGCTGCTGCTGCTGCGCCCTGGCGGTGATCGGTTCATCCCCTTTTCCCTACTAACTGTCGGGAGCTGTGAGTATTGGATTTGCACATGCCTTTTATTTTCTTCTGCTTGATAAAAGTGAAGCGGCCAGTTTGTTTTAGGCCACAACGCACCCAAGCTACGACACAGGCCTGCAACAGGGGGGTTCAATAACTGGCAGAGACCGTTGTGGATCAAGTGTGTGTGTGTGAGTGCGTGTGGGTCCATCATATTCCTTAATTTAATGTTTTGTTTCATTTTATGTGATGTTTGGACATAAGAGACTGAATAACAGTTAAACGGGTACTATTTCTGTTGAATATTAACACTCTCACTTAACCCAAGGGATTTATGTAATTTTCTTTTATTTGTTTTGAGCGTAAAACATTGCGACTAAAGAGTCTTTACATTTCAGGTTTTGGGATTGTGTGGTGTTTTATTTGGTTTAACGCATAAAACAAAGGGAATATCATAAGAATAACCCAGGCCCCCCCTATATGTACATAGGTGGGTGTTACAATAATGTCATAATATAATGTTGATGTAAACAGCTAAACTTTGACCCATCTCAAAATGTTGTGTTAGAATATATATAATGTTGACGATGGCAATATTTTTATTTTTGTCATTCCTAACTTTTCACTTACTTTTTATTTTCTGTTAGAAATGAGCTTCCATACAGGAGACACTGATGTGTTGGAAAACATATAAATTCTAATGTTTGCTTAAGAATAATTCAGTGGACAAAGCATCAACATGTCAGTGTCTTCAGGATGTGTTGTCGTATCTCTGTGGTCCTGATGCCGTAGATGATCGGGTTGAAGCAGCTCGGGAAGAACAGGTACATGATGCTGAAGAAAACCCGAACAGCTGCAGGGAGACCATTTCTGATCCGGTAGGACAGGAAAGCAGTGAGTACGATGGTCAGGGTGACGGCCATGACCACGATGTGGGTGACACATGTGTGAAGAGCTTTGACACCTGACTTACCAGAACTCAGTACAGAGCTGAATATGACTATGTAGGAGGTGGTGATGAGGAAGAAATCCACCACAGGGATGAGGAACACTGAGGTCAACCCCACCAGACTGTTGATGGTGGTTCTACCACAGGCCAGCTCCACCAAGGCCATGTGCTCACAGAAACAGTGGTCTATTACATTTCTTAAGCAAAATGGGAGCCTCCCTGCTAAAGTCACTACCACCAAGACCACAAACACATTTCTGATCATAAGAGGGATCATAAATTTGAGAAATCTAGGTAGTGCCATACATTCACGGTAGTAGAGTGGTGTGCAGATGGCGAAGTAGCGGTCCAGTGCCATCCACAGCAGCAGAGTTGACTGAAAAGCTCCCAAGAAGTGAACAAAATACATCTGAACCAGGCAACCAATCAGAGAGATTCCCCTCCAGTCAAACAGGAAGCTCAGCAGCATGTTGGGGACGAAAAACAGAGGGAGGCTCAGGTCCACGCACGCCATGCCAGCGATGAGGATGTACATCGGGGAGTGGAGGCTTCTCTGTGAGATGATGATGTACAGCAGCAGGGAGTTGGCTGACAGCGACACGATGAACATGATGCAGAATGGGATGAAGAGGACGGGCCTCAGAGCTCCCAGTTCACTGAAGCCATCGAGGATGAAATGTTTGTGTGAGGAGACGTTGTCCATCCTCCTCTTCTCCTACAACCTCCTCGTCCAGGGTTTCAGTTCAATCAGCCTGAGAACAGAGACACATTCATCTGTGAAGTCAGTTCAGTTATCCACAGCTGCAGAATATGTCTTTGTAACCTGCTTTCCATTTGCACACAACCACTAAAGAAATGGTGACCCACACTACGTTCATCTTTCATTGTTACAACACAATCTGAAATCTCACTTCTTCAAGCACACAGTCTGTAATCCAGATATAAATACACACATAATATTTATGGTAGTGAACTGCTCTGTGAGGACACCTGTGCTGTGACATTTAGCATCAATCAAATGTAAAATGTAACTTTTAGTTGATGTGTCACACACACAGCTGGAGACACAGATACACACGCAGCTCTCTATCTCTCCTCACAGGACTCAGTGACACCCTGACAGCTCATCCTGGGTGCTGATTGAAAGTTTGGATCCAGTTCGAGGTCAGATAACCTCCAACATTAGCAAGTTTCTTTCAAATCTTCTAGCTTGATACTGTTTTTTTTTTTTTCTTTCAACAAAATTAAATGTACAAAATATTAGCAGCTTCTAATTTTTAGCCAGTGCTGTTGCCTTCACTGGGTGGAAAGAAAAATACAAAACATACAATAGGTATTAAATGACTTCAAAACCACAAATAACGTTCAATCACAATGTTTTTTTCTTTTTGTTCATTGCCAACATTTTTCAAATTCTTGGTCTCTACACCTACAGTGTAGTTAAGGGAAGGATTGTGGTTATGGCAAATTAACCATAATTAAGGTATAGATCCTGTTCAGCAACTGAAACAGTTTGCTAAGTTTCGGGAAAAATCATGGTTAGGGTTATTATAAAGAAGAGTGGTAACAGGGTCAAGGTTTGATCTCACATGAAAATCAGATTCATTACATGTCCATGTCCACCCTAACCCTAGTGTTACTTTCCTCCTTGTTACATACAGGAAACACAGCATGTGGTAGTGGCACTGAACATTGGAACAAATCACAGTGTGTGGATTTGATATGAATGTCATTTCTAGGATTATGGGACTGAATGTCACAAGATGCAGATTGTAACAGTTGTCGCTAATAACATTAATGTCATGATTAATTTCCCTAAAATTTCAAACTTATTTGTCAATTTTAGTGTGAAATACATATTTAATCAGGCTCAGATTATTTTCAGGTTGTTAACATTCACTGGACTGAACCAAATGTATGTTTCTGACTTCCCACACAGAAAAAGCTGCATGAAAGATGTAAACTGATGTAAACTGAGTTGTTGTCTTTTAGTTTATGACTTTAGTCACATGCAGATGTTGAAAAGCTGAACCTAAAAAGATTATGAGACATGATTCATTAGGTTTAGGAAATCAAACGGCATAAAATCCCATTATTTTACTGATTCCAGGTAAGATTTGTTTCCTTGATATAGCCATTGCATTTCTCCATATTGTGATTCTCCTACTGATCCTGCTGTGAAAAACGTGCATCTGTCATGGTGGAAGGATCGCCTCTGTTTCTACTTATCGGAATCAATGCGATGGACATACATGCAGATGTGCATTAACCAGTTAGTATATCTGCATGGAAACTTTGAAATTGCTCAAGATCACATATCTGTCAAAGAACAACAACACAACAACACATCAGCATCAAGAGTTATTACATAAAACAAACCTGACAAAGAGCAGAGGAGGCTCATATTTCTTCTGGCTGTGTGGTTCTAATCAAAGAGACTGAAATTGAAACAATGAAATTAATCAAAAGGTTCAGCCTGTGAAGAGAAATGACTCAGATTGTTCCCAGCTCAGGTTCCCTTATTTCAGAGATGTCAGGATCTAGAATAACAGAATGTCAGACCTCTGCAACATACAAGTAGGAATCAAAATACATCACAATCACATCCCTTAAGAAAAAGTCTGAAAACAGTCTAAGGTGAAATAATCTCCCCCCTGTCTGACTGTGAAAACCAGAATTCATGAAGAATTCAACATGACAGTTCTGCTCTGTAGAAGAGAAATCAGCTAGTTCTAGTTGTTGCCTGCAGGTTAATGATAATAGCTGATGATTCTCCTCCATCCATGCCTTCATCCACCTGTCCCCTCTGAACCACTGACTCAACACTTTAGTATACTCCGTCTGATGCTGTCATTGGCAGCAGAGTGCAACGCCTCGTCACCCTATTGGTGTGATGGACTGAAAATCCCAGAGAGCAGCAAGAACAACACAATAATCCACTTTGTAAAGCTCAAGCTAACAGATATGAGGAGTAAAACTTCTGATAATTTGTGTGTTTCAATTTGTATCCCTCAAATTGGTACATTATACCCCTTAAATTAATAACACTGTGGCTGTAGGACCTGGAGTTGTAGGCTGATGCTACTCTGATCCGTTAGCACAGAGCCCTCAGGCTGTTGGCTGCAGGAAACCAAATTTCTGAGTGAAATCTCCTTCCTGTGTGGGTCTTGCCAGATTTTCTGAAAGACTCCTTTCCATTTTTAATCAACTAAATCAATTTGGCTTTAATTACAGTTTTACATTTTACTCAAGATGTGATAGCACGTCATTGTGAAGGAGGCAACAGGACCTCTTTACAAGCTGAATAATAGCAGTAGGCTATTACAGTTCATTTTCATTTTATTAAGGTAGCAGGGCCTGCACAATGGCTTTAAGCACAGTGAAACCCCCTTTCAGTGTCCACACAGGCTTAAATACTCCAGTTCATTCACAGTCCTTGTAACACGCCTCCTGTGAATGGACTGCACCTATATAGAGCTTTTCTAGTCGTATTGACCAATCAAAGTGCTTTACACTACAAGCCACATTTACCCATTCACACGGTGCTATCCTCTACACATACAGTGCTTCAAGCTGCTGCAAGCTCTCACACACCAATGTTACATAGGGGGCAACTTGGGGTTCAGGATCTGGCCCAAGGACACTTCAACACATGGACTTAAGAAGCCAGGAATTGAACCAGAGACTCCTCCAATTAGTGGAAGACCCACTCTACCTCCTGAGCCACAGCAGCCCCACTGTAGGCCTGTAGCCTATTGTCTTTCATCTTATTTTGTAGTTTTCCCCTTTTATACTGTAACAGCAATTCTCAATTGCTATTCAGTTTCAGTTTTTATTCCCCCACGCAGTCAGAGCCGGAGCTCCACCAAGGCCATGTGCTCACAGAAACAGTGGTCTATTACATTTCTTAAGCAAAATGGGAGCCTCCCTGCTAAAGTCACTACCACCAAGACCACAAACACATTTCTGATCACAAGAGGGATCACAAACTTGAGAAATCTAGGTAGCACCATATGTTCATGGTAGTAGAGTGGCATGCAGATGGCAAAGTAGTGAGCCATTGCCATCCACACCAAAGCTGTTTTTCCATTTTTCCAGTGTCCATGAACACTGAATATCAAGTGGATCAAAGTGTGAAATACAGTCATTTTTATTTTGGTGTTATTTCCATCATTCATTTTTTCCTTGTGAACTAAAGACTACAGGTGAAGTCAATGGGTGAACCGGAAGTAAAATGAAACCATCAAAATTAAAAATGAAACGTGAGAACTTTACTGGCATTAGAACGAGGCACTTTGCGAATAAGATGGTAGCCTGTAAATTCAGATTAAGCTAAACGTAGCTAGTTAGTGTGATAAATAGGATAGTGATATTATTTTAGCTGAGTGGTATTAAGTAATATTGTCAAAACTGTTGTCCCTACTCTACATTCCCTACCAAAATAAAGAGTGTCTATAAAGTCACCAACAGAGGTCCCCAACACTCACTGTGAAGGTGTAACATTAGCTGCATTTCAACCTAAGTTCCAGGTACTTTACTTCAGGGACTAAAAGGTTTCTGTGGCTCATTGTTGTCTGCGTTTCCACCGCGGCCTAAAGTCCCGGGAAGATTATGCAAGATTATTACTTGACATTACATTATTCACAGCACTTTGAGGACATAACATGGGACAAATTGCGTCCCTTGTTCATTCAATACAGGATGCAGCATTTTATTGTCATATATGGGGCGATCCTGTATTATAGGTGATGGGTGGCAACCCTTGCCACTCTGGTTGTTGTGGTCCTTTACTTTTTTGTAGTGCTTTTTCAGTTTTTTTACATTCTGCTGGACCTGTTTTACGGTGTTGAAAATGTTGAGCTTGCTCGGGGCTCACTTGGTCGCTCGCTGCAAACTTTTAAACATGGCGAGTGAAATAAGGTTCCTGTTGCGGAAACGTGGCTATTGACATCATTACATGTATAGATGACTAATCCTACAGTATGTAATACTAGCTGGTAAAAAAAGGCTACTACCAAGTAAACGGCCCAATATGGATGCCTGTTGGGAGGTTGACATTAGGTTGACATTGAAAATAAAGTATTGTGAAAGCAACATTGCTGCTACCTCACTTGGCACAGTTCAATGGGAGCTTAGGTCTCAGTTAATTAATTTATTAGTTTATTTTCTGAGACAAGACAAGACACATTGTATCAGGTTACAATAACATAATACAGATGTGTTGCATACAGAAGTTCTTAGCAACACCTGTCCCTGGTTAGGCTTTTATACTTAAAAAGGTCATAACATGTCACATATCATATCAATACATCACATTACAATCATTTTACAGGTGTAGCATATGTGTATGTCCCCAGATGTGTATGTATGGTCTCTAATACATGACAGTATGTGTATGTACATAATATTGATGGTTATGTGTGTCTGTGTGCATAGATAGATAGATACTGTATTTATCCTCAAGGGAAATTCATGTGTCTATCAGCTCATTGTTGATAATAATAATAATAATAATAACAGCTGATAATAAATAAACAACATTAATTAGATTAGTCCACTTCCTTTGGCTGAGGTGTTGTATAGCCTGATGGCAGTGGGGACAAAGGATCTCCTGAACCTCTATGTTCTGCATGTTCATCATTGTAATGGGTGAGGTTTGGACCCAAAAGCAGCACCGACTAGAACCGATGATTGGTAATGACT